ATTAAATTAAAATTAATTTTTTTTTTTAAAGTCTTAACAAAAAAATTCCAATTTTCTATTTGATTAAGCATCCTATTTAAAGGATAATATAGAGGAATTTTTTTTTTTTCGTTTTTGAAAGATATGGTATCGTAAAATGACTTCTATTAAAGTTGAAACTTATTTTTTGTGGGAATATATATGATGTTAAATTTTTCAACATCATTTAGAGAGATAAACTGCTCTCTTTATCTAAGTATTTCTCCTTTATTTCTTCCATTTATAAGTCTATTACTCAGTGTAAACTTTTGTAACAATAGTACGCGTATATGTGTTGTGTTTTCTTTTTTATATGAATAATTTAAAGAATTGCTTCGTCAAGTTTCAAGACGTTGAAATCTCTCTTTTGCCCTTTGGGGTAATATTTAAAACTCGTTTCATTTTTCTCTTAAATTCACACGACACGTTGACTATTATGAAAATATTTTTTTCCAAATATATTTTATATTATATCTTTTTTTCTTTTTATTTATATAATAATTAAAATTAATTTCTTGTAATTTTTTAATTATTTGAAAAAATTGAATTAAATTCTATATAGAATTTTTCTATATAGTTAGAAAAATCTATTTGAAGGGAATTTTATTACAAGAAAATATAGTATATTGAACGATTAATCTGTTTAACCGAGTTTTTTTTTTCTATATTGTATACAGATATAGAAAAAGGGGTTTCGAATTCCCCTCTTTAAGCTTTCTCTATCTCGAGGTCGAAAAACAGAACATTCAAAGATAAACACAGAAAATGTATTTTCTCAGGATAGTTCGTGTGTTAGACATTTACACATTTCACTTATACAAAACTGGTAAAAGCGCACAGGAACACAATAACTTGTATAAGAAAAAAAAATATAACCAAAAAAATATAGTGTATCTTGTATACAATAAAAATTCGAAATTTCTAAGAAATAAAATTTACTCACTAAAATTACTCGCTAAAATAATACAAAAGGTAAAATTAAATTTTTATTGGAAAAATATATTATATTTAAGTAAAAAATACAAGTAAATATTTGCTATTTTTGCTAAATATTTTTCCGAAATTTTTTTTTCTTTCTTTTATATATATATATATAGTAAAAAATTGGAAAAACCATTAATTTTCCTAATTGGGAGTAATTTATTAATTAGTCGCCATTGGGCACTCGATTTTGTCAAATATCGTATAAAATATAGATTATGGAGATTACTGTTATGGGATGTAAATTACTAATTATTATTATTACCTTTGCATGAACCAAAACGTGTCTAACAGCATATTGAGAATCATTGATGCATTAAGTCATACTAATCAGTCGACAAAATTTTGCATTAAGTAATGCTATTATATATAGTTCAAGGTAATTACATATATATAATCCTACTAAAAGCGATAATTAGTTGCATATTTCGATTTTTATTTTATTTGTGTGAAATATTTATTTAATAAAAAAAAAAAACAAATTATTTGAATTTTTCAGTTTTATATTTAGAAATAAAAATAAAAAATAGTGAAAACATAAAAAATGCTATTAGCCCTTTCTTTTTCTAAATTTAATCGTAAAATAAAACAATTTAGAAAATGGAAAGTGAAAAAGTGATATTGTACATAAATTGAGAAAGCTATTCGAGTATACAATAGAAAAAAACCTATAAATAAAAATAAAGATATTATATATATATATAGAATTTGAAAATTGAAAACATAAAAATAGAGTTTTTATTTGTCTCGAGTAAGACAGGATGAAATTGAAAGATATATTTGGATCTGTGAATTTTCAAAGCTTTAAAGAAATCTTGCCAAGCAGATAATATGCGATAATGTTTTATAACTTTTCCAAAAAGACATACAAAATCTATAAATTGCAAAAAAAAAATTAGAATTTTTTATAAAAGAAATAATTTTCTTTTTCTGATTTTAAAATTAAAAGAATTTTAAATTTTCTGCCTGATTAAAATTTAATTTTACTACTGATAGGAAACTAACAAAATATTAATATATTGTCTGATTAATACGAGATTATACTACTGAGAAAAAATTTAATAAATTTTAAAAAGGATTTTCTTTAATGACATCAAAATTTTACAGTCATTGAAATATTTATTTTCTTGTTCCATAAAAATATTGAAAAATAAAAAAAATTAGAATAGAATAAAATTTTGTTTAAACAAAAAAAAAAAAAAAAAATTGTAAATCGAAATATTTTTCTCCAAATTTTATTCATTTGCAAAATTATCATATTCAATATCAAATATTCAAATATTAACTTTAGTTTAAAAATATATCCAAAAGTGTAAAAAAAAAAAAAACAAATTTATAGGTGTAAATAACTTATATTTTTTAACTTGAATTTTAAGGCAAAAGACAAAAAAAAAAAAAAAAAAAAAAGAACGTCGTTAATCAAGTTTCTCATACGGTTTGTCTATATTGCGCTTTACATGGGGGACTTTTTGCCAGTATCGAGGGACGTCTACAAATGTATAGAAATAGTCTGTAAATTTTTTACACTGAACCCTTCATGTTTTACCAAGTAGGGTGTCCTCTTTCTTTATTATACACATAAGAAATCGAAAACAGTTAATAATAAATTTTTATGTTCCTCTTAAATAATTTCCCAAAGAAATGATTCATTTTCGGTACTTTTGTACCAAAAAAAAAAAAAAAAACCATTTTTGGTATATTTATTATTAAAAATGCGTTAATTTTTTTTTTTGTTTTTCTTCTTTTGGGCCAATTTTTTTTTACCTATATCAAACAAAATCAATCGAAATTTTAAAGGACAATCAAATTTTATAAATATTAATTAATATTAATTTTTAATTATAAACTAGTAAAATTAAACGCGCGCCAAATTGAGTATTTAATTGTTTGTTATAAAAAAATTAAAGATTAATATTATTAATAATAATTTAATTTATTAGAATATTATTACATATTAAATGATAATAATGGAAATTATATGTTTACAGGCCTCGGATTATACTACTTTTTCCGACTTTTTTTCAAAAATACGACTTTTATCGACTTATTTTAATAAAATGCGACATTTTTTTTTACATTTGAAAAAAAATGTAAATAAAATACATTTTTTTAGTATAAAATGTAGATCTTCTTCAGATCTTCTTCAATTCAATTATTTAACAAATTTTGAACTAAAATGATTCTTTACTAAATTAATTATTTTTAATAATTTTAATGATATACATCACAAATTCAATTATATTAAAATTATTTTTCAATTAAAATTTTTATGAAATTCAACAATTGTTTATAATTTAAAAAATATATATCACAATAAAATTGAATTATTTTTTTAAAAATTTCAATTCAAAATAAACTAAAATTCAATTATTACCCGAAATTTTAATTCAAAATCAATTAAAAATCCAATAATTATCCAAAATTTTCAATTTAAAATTTTATTATTTACCAAGTTTTCAATTTAAAATGAAATAAAATGAAGTTATTTTTTAAAATTTCTATTCAAAATTAATTATCCAAATTTTCAATCAAAAATGAACTTCAATTAAATTATTATCCAAAATTTCAAGTAAAATTCAATTGTTTCACAAAATTTTCAATTCAAAATGATCTGAAATTCAATTATTTTCCAAATTTAAAATCAAAATTAAATTTCATTATTCTCAAAAATTTGAATTCAAAATTAATTGAATTTTTTTTTCAATTCAAAATGAACTGAAATTCAATTATTTTCCAAATTTAAAATCAAAATTAAATTTCATTATTCTCAAAAATTTGAATTCAAAATTAATTGAATTTTTTTTTCAATTCAAAATGAACTGAAATTCAATTATTTTCCAAATTTAAAATCAAAATTAAATTTCATTATTCTCAAAAATTTGAATTCAAAATTAATTGAATTTTCAATAATTTGAACTTAAAAGCATTTAAAATTTAATTATTTCTAAAATTTTCCATCGAAGATTTTTTATTTGAAATTTAATAATTTCAATTATAACTCTAAGAAAATTCAATTATTTTTAACTATTTTAATAATATTCTTTGAACATTCAACTGTCTAAAACCATTTTTCAATTAAAAATGATTTTCAAATTATTGTATTTTGACCACATTTTCTAATAAATTTTTAGTGAAATCATCTAAAATTTTAATTACAAAACACTTAAAGTTTCAATTAATTTAAAAAATCTCAATTTTAAATCTTTGAAAATTCAATTAAATTTAAAAAATGTTTTCCAAAAATTGTTTGATAAATTATTTTAGTTCTGTAAAATTTAATAATTTTTTGAAAATTAATAATATCTTTTGAAATTTAATTATTTCTAAAAATTTCAACTTTAACCCTTCGAAAAGGATTATTAATAAAAAAAAAAAATTTTTATTTAAAAATCTGTAAAATATTTTTGTTAAAATAAAAAACAAATCCACTTTTTTTGGAATATAAATCGACTAAAACAACTTTTTGTGTCTTTTAAGTTGATTTGAGGCCTGTGTTTTTATAATTAATATTTAATAGGTAATCGTTGGCCCCTGGTACCTTAAAAATTAATTTTTAAAAATAAATTTTTTTCAAATTACTATCTTGTACGAAATTTCCTGGTGCATCTTTTTTCTCATCATAAATTTTTGGTATTTTCATACAATTTTTGAATCAATATACAACTTTTAAAAAAATTTCGTTGATAAACGTTGTGTACTTCAGCTTTGTGAATTGAATTTTCGAATTTGGAATTTTAAAGAAACTTATTCCAAAATTTGGAAACACAATTATACAACTTTGGCAAAAATGAGAAAAAGAATTGTCAAAATTTGACACGTCATAAGATTACTATTAAAAAAAAAAAAAAAAGAAATCAGAAAAGGCCAACTTCAAGTTAGGACAGAAGGACATAATCATTTTATTATTATATAATAATATTAATTAATATTAATATATATTTAACTAAAATTATGAATTATTTTTACAAAAAGTAGAAGAAAAAAAGAAAATGTTGACTTACCTATCAAACGAAATGGCCATTAATGTAAAAACACTGGCGCAAATTGTAACAACAGCAATAAATTGGCTAATTTTACAATATAAATTTCCAAATGGCCAATGACTATTGAGCATATATGTATAATTAAAAATGACATTTAACGTTGAGACCATTGCATCGGCAATGCTTAAATTCACAAGAAAATAATTAGTGACAGTTCGCATTCTTTTGTGTGCCAATACAATCCAAATGACAATAAGATTACCACCAGTTGCAACGACAATCATTCCCGCGAACAATAATGTCCAAATCATTTGTCTCCACCATGGTAAAATAAATTGATTGCCATCATCATCCAAGTCAGTTAAATTTGTGTCATTTCTGTAAAAACTTTCATTTCCCACAATCCACGATGATGTTAAATTCAATGGGAATTCCGTTGAAAAAAATAGTTCTTCGAGTGACTGCATCACGAACACTTTATATATATATATATATATATATAGAAAAAAAAAAACACACTTTTCTTTAGTTCGTTAGTCGATTTCTTTCATTCTTTTTCGAACAATTTACAACAATTTATTTTTTTTACTTATTATTTTAGGGGAATTTTTTTCTAATCATTACTTTGAGGGGAGGGGGGGGGTAAAGACCCCTTTTTCGTTCTCTCTTAAATTTACATAGTTCTTTGATAAATATTTATTAGAGAATATGATATTTTTATTATATAATAAATAAGATTTGGAAATTTTTTTTTTTGGGAAAATATCATTTTTTTTTTCTAATTGAAAATAAAAATTATTTATTTTTTTTTTTTATTTTCCAGTGAAAATTCGTTGTGATAATTGTAGTGAAATTCTTTCATTAGTTCGAAAGAGTAGATCGACATTCGCGGTTCCTAGAAAGTAGAACTCTGTTCTGTGGAAACCAATCGAAGAGCAGTGGTGGTGGTTGGTTGAATGCAGTGGTTAGCTTCACCATCGAAGCTCACTTCCACTTCCGTTTCATGCACTGTCGGCTTTAACAAGGCTCTCTTTCCTCTCTCTCACTTTTCTCCCAACAATACACCCCTCGTTCACCCTTTATTGTTTTCATAGCTTATTCGTGAAAGATGAATGATTTTTTTCCAAATAAAACACACATGACTGTCTTTCAAATCGTCGAAAATCTCAAAACTATATTTTTTAATATACAATTCTATGATAAAATAGAAAAAGAAAAAAAAAATTTATTTGACAAAATTAATTAATTTTATTAAGAATAAATTTTTAATCTAATTTTTCAGTTGAATTAAAAATTTCATATTAGTTGAAAATTAATTTTATTTTTTGAAAAAATTAATATTTAATTAGTGATCTTTTTTTTTTCTCTCTCTCTCTCGTCTTGAAGAATCAAAATTGATATGCCATCAGCAAAAAATAACGCGTCTTTCAAATAGTACAATGTGTTCATATTTTCTTATTATAAAACATTCTCTTTTGTTCTTCATTCCCCGTTGGCGATACTTTGTGATGTTTTTCATCATTTTGGAAAAAATTTAGGTCTTATGTTTGGATTTATTAAAATCTTTTTTTTTTCTTCTTTTTTTTTAAGAAAATCCTTGGGGAGAAAGAATTTTTTTTTTTTTTTTAAATCCACAAGACGTTAATAAAGCTCGTTTAAGTAAAATATAAAAATTAGAGATTATATAAACATTTACATTTCATTAGCGGTTTTTTTTTTTATAGACTTTCATAAATTTTTATTTCTTTTTTGCACACTGCAATTACAATATATCGATTGTGATTGTAAATTTTTATCACGTTCAATCTTCTTTTTCCTTTTCTCTGGCTGAGAAGATTAATCTGTAACATAAAATTTCAAAGAATTTTTTATTTTTTTAATCTTTATGAATATATATATATATATATATATATATATATATATATATATAGACAGGATATTATATGAATTTTGTTAGAGAAGATTTTTGTATTATAGGGCATCAGTAGTTGGGTAAAACGCAGATTAAGCATAGAATACACTTGGGAAAATTTAATGCAAGCTCAGGTTTATGGGCTGAAGAGCTCATGGTTTACTTTGAAATATTTTCGAATTATTAAAAGCAAAAGATAGCTATATAATGTTGTATCAAAGAATATTGCATTTTAGTCGGTTTATTTGTATTTTAATTAAAGTTGACAATAAGCCAATTTATATTAAGGTAAATAATAATATAAATAATAGTAGTAAAAATTATATTTTCTAATTAAAAAATTCTTTTTGCAAAATTTCAAATATGTGAGTAGAAAAAAAATTTTTTATTTTTTTTTTTAAATTAAATTATAAATTTAGCTTTTATGAAATAAATTTTTAATTTTTTTTTTTAAATTTTATAACTCTATTATTTTAACAAGATTAAAAATACCTGTTGGAATTTTTCATTATTATTTAGAAACATTATTTTTATTTTATTAAAATAATTATTCTATTATCCTAAAAATTGTTTTATTAAATTTTCTTGAAATAATAAAAAAAAAAAAATTAAAATTCAAAAAATCATACCAGTACTTAGCAAAGAAAAATTCTTTCGCATCGTTGAAAATATATGTATGAATATAAATCCATATATGCAAATTTTACGTTTCAATTTTCAATTCAAATATGTAGGCATCGAACGTGTTAAAAGTTCAAAAAGTACCATCTGCAAGGTGTCTGTGTTTAAAATAAATCTTTCTATGAAGAGCTTAAATTTTTTTTTTTTTAAATGTGAATTTAAAATAGTATCAAAATTTATCGAAAAAATTTTTAAAGTAAATTTTCAAATAAGTCTATATATGCAAAAATGTGAAACAAAAACTTTTCTATTCTTTTATTTCATCAAGATAGTGTTCTATAAATTTACATTTTATTTTTTAATAATTTTCTAATAACCAATAATTATTATTGAAATAATTGTTTTTGTCAGTGAAAGCAATTACGTTACTTGATCCTCTATTATATAACCATGCTTTGTCGGAAGTAATTATGTTAAACTTAAGTTTATCCATCAGAATGTGAAAATATAATGAACGGTCATAAATTACTTGCAGCTAAATTGATTTCATGAATATTTTGAAAAAATTAAAGGGATATTAAATTCTAATAATTTTTTTTTCTCGATAAATTAATATAACAATGAATATTAATTAAATATAATATATTTATAATTTATAAATAATTTATAATTTACTGTTGAAATTTTTTTTTTATTTCAGTATAAGTAGTAGAAGTCAATTTTAGTCAGACGAAATATTCATTTTTTCTTTCTCTCTATTCAAGTGGATTTTGATAACACTTTTATTTATTTTTTTTTTTAAAAAAGTAGTTGGTTTAAAATATAAACCAGTGGAATATTTTTTAAATCCACAGGTAGGAAAAAAAACATATTTCCATTTACGCACACCAAGGCTCGTGATTCGTTCACATAAGCGTCACCATTGTTATACAATCACTGCGAGAAATTTACAATTGTAACGTGAAAATTATGCATTGCCACCACTCTATACGACCACTGGTTGTGGCCACTCGTTGTTTTTCATTTTTTTTTTTTGCTCTCTCTCTCTCCATATTCGCATACATTTGAATAATGCGAGAATAAGGCAAGGCACCTTCTCTATATACACAATAAAAAAAAAGTCCATGACAAGTCCTTGAATTGTAAAAAAAATATTCTAAAACTTTTTTCAAAGGAAAAGGGATGAGAAAATAAGGAACCACCAAAAAATATATTCCAGAAGTGAAAAAAAAAATGCCAAGCGTTATATATGTGTTTTGAAAATGGTCAACACGCAAAATGGATATTGGATTAAATGTACTTTAATAAAAGCGAAAAATTGTTATGTGACCGCATTTCTCGCGTAACTTGCGCAGCTCCTCGGAGATATGCTTCCTCTTCGTGTGTGAATTTCCGTTATTCTGTAAACGAGCAACTTTTGCCATTCTCGTTTTCGACATTTTTTTTCTTTTTTCTTTTTTTTTTTTTTAATTAAAATCGCAAATGTCGTGTAAAAATTCTTAAAATTGGGATATATAATTAAAATTGTGTTGCAAAAAAATTTTCACATCTTCTTACACTTTTAATAATAATTATATTGTAGTAGTAGTAGTAGTAGTAGTAGTTAAAACTAGCTTTAGTCAGACAACAGGAAAAAATTGTTTTAATTTCATTTTGACAAAATCATACTAAGAAGAAAAAAAGAGTAAATTTTTTTTTCTATATAAAAAAAAAAAAAATCAAATGTACTTGTCTGACTGAAAATTTACTTGTACTACTTATACTAAAAATCAGAATAATTAAACAAATTTTTTCCGAGTGTAAAATTTAATTATAATAGAATTAGAAAAATATAAATTGTTTCAGTCTGACTGAATTTAGTCTCTACTACTTATAGTAAAAATTAAAATCATTCGTTTACGTCTGTCTGAGTGAAATTTACTTGTACTACTGATATTAAAATTTCTAACTATAACACTTCAGTCTGACTAAAAAGTACTTTTACTACTAACATCGAAATTATTATAATTTTCCGTATAAGTTGTAGACGGTAATTTTAGTCAGTCAATTCGATTATAATTTTCAGTTTAAGTAGTAGACGCCAATTTTAGTCAGACAATTTGATTGTAATATTTTAGTGTAAGTAGTAAAAGATAACTTTAGTCAGACAAATTGATTCTAACGTTCAATGCGTTCAAATTCAAATTCAATAGTTATTTTTCTTTATAATTAGTAAATAAAGGCGTTAGTAAATAGATTCTAATTTTCAGTGCAAGTAGTAAAAGATAACTTTAGTCAGACTATTCGATTCTAAATTTTCCTTCTAAGTAGTAGATGCAAGTTTTAGTCAACCAATTCGATTATAATTTTTAGTTTAAGTAGTAGAAGAAGGATTTAGTTAGACAATTTTTTTTGTACTTATTTTCAGTGCAAGTAGTAGAAGCTAGTTTTGATCAGAGAATTTAATTGTTATTTTTAAGTATAAGTAGTAAAAGAATGTTTAAGTCAGACACGTTGACTTTAAGTATCAGTGCAAGTAGTAAAACATAAGTTTAGTCAGACAATTCGATTATAATTGTCAGTTTAAGTAGTAGAAAAAAGCTGTAGTCAGACAAATTGATTCTAACGTTCAATGCAAGTAGTAAAAGATAACTTTAGTCAGACAATTCGATTATAATTTTCATTTTAAGTAGTAGAAGTTAGTTTTCGTCAGACAAATCGATTATAATATATTATCCTAAGTAGTAGAAGTTAGTTTTAGCCAGACAATTCGATTCTAATTTTCAGTATCAGTAGTAGAAGCTAGTTTTAGTCAGACAATTCAATAGTTATTTTTCTGTATAAGTAGTTAAAGAATATATTAGTCAGACAAGTTGTTTTTTAATTTTCAGTGCAAGTAAAAAAAAAGATAAGTTTAGTCAGACAATTTGATACTAACTTTTATTTGTAAGTAGTTGAAGCTACTTTTAATATAGAGAATTCTGTTTAAATTTTTTCACACTATATTCTAATACTTTGTATATAAAATATAATTGAAATCATCAATTAATCTCAGTTGATATAATCACAGAAGTTATACTAATTCGATCGATATATGGTGTTGTATGAAACACTGTAATTATTACATTGCACATATATATGTGTGTGTGTGTGTTAAATTGCCACATCTAAAACGATTTAAGGATCATTTGATATCAATCCTATATATAGATATTAGGTGCATCAGTATTGATGTAATATTATAGCCGTTAATGTGTTAATAGATTGTGGTTCTATTCTGATTATAATTTAGCATCAGGTAATTTGATTGTGGGATAATATTCTAATTCGATTGTATATAAAATAGAACGTACAAAAAATAAAATTATTGAGAAAAATGATTTTTTTAATGTGAAATTTTTTGGTTGTTTTTTTTTTTTTGATACTCGAAATAATTATTGCTATTTAACAAAAAGAAAAATTCACATTAAAATCTCAGACATTTTATAAGTTTATTGTCAGAAAAAAGAAAATTTAAAGAAAAAACATAAAATGAGTTTCGATGTGAGTAGCTGAATTAAAGGATTTCTTTGCATTTGAGGAAAATTAAAGTGCTGAAAAGAACGGATGAAATAACGTATATATATATGATTCAAACTAGAATATAATCGTATTGTGACCTTTTTATATAGAGAACAGTACAAGCTAATTGGAAATGGGATTTCTGTTGCCGGATTTACGAGAATGGAACATAGATTTCTTGCACGGGTTCAGCGTCAAAAAGATGGAAATAGAAAATGAAATATACTCTCTTTTCCTGGTTCAACGTATACAGTTATATAGCTAATAGTAATCTACTATATATATAAAAAAAAATATGCATAATACTTGAATTTTAACATCACTTCTATTTTTTTTTTGTCTTAATAAATTCTTTCCCTTCTTAAGTATATCTATACATAGTGAATAAATAACAAATTCTTTTCCCCCACTAATATTATTTTCTTTTTTTTTTATTTTAATATTTTATTTTTTGTTAAAAAAAAATAAATTTATTTCTTTGATGGAAAATATTTTTTCTGTAATATATATGCGATTTTTTTTTTGGTATAAATAATGGTTTTGTAAAAGTGTGTTAATTGAGTTTTTTTTTTTTTTGGGGGGGGATGATGGTTTTAGAACAAAACATAGAATTGTCTTCTTGTTCTGTATATCGTATTTCATAATATAACTTATGTGTGTATATATAGCAAATGAGGAAATACATCAGAGAGTAAAAAAAAAATAATATAACATTGCAATGAATCGTTATTCGCTCTCTCATGTGACAGTTTCGTATTTTCGTGTTGC